TTGTTGTTGTTATTATTATTATTATTACTTTATGTTGTAGACTGTATTGTAAAATTTGTTGTTGTTGTTGTTTATTTATTTAACAGAGTGATATGTTACACCTCAAAGTACATAACGCACTGCACCATATCACTTTTAAGAGGGCAATACAGTGCCTCAGGTGAGAACTTTGGTGATATTTAAGTATTAATAATTATAGCAAAGCTGTGGTTCCTACAACAAAAACCTTTTAAGTACACAATATTTCAGGATAAAAAGTAACGATATCAAAACATGACGTTTCGGCGACGACATGTCACCATTATGAACTGTAAATTATTGTAAGTTCAGTAACGTTATATGAAGAAAGGAAAGTGTGAAAGGAAAACAAGAGAGTGGACATAATTAACAAAAACGGAATGATCATAATTCATTGTTAATGTTAATGTCCAGTCTTTTGTTTTCCTCTATCTAACTTTATTCTAATGTAGTTTCACACTTTCCTTTCTTTATATAACTTTACTGATCTTACAATAATTTACATTTTATAATGGTAACTTGTCGTCGCCGAAACGTCATGTTTTAATATCGCTGCTTTTTATCCTGAAATGTTTTTCCAAATCTCTCATTATCAGAAGTACACAGTAAGCATAGAAGAGTATTAAACAATAATTATAGTAAATGCATATCACTCACATGGGAGTGCACTATTATTCCAATGTCTTCAAAGAATTTGAAGTCTTTCTTTTAATACCTCCAATGCCTTTATGTCTTATCTTATTAGAAAAACGTATAACACATACATGTAGACACGAACCATGTTACACAAGATCACTCAAATCACTCTGTAAGTTATTGTTTCGCTGGATAATTGAACGCATGTGATTAAATTGTTTGCTGTTTGTAATTCAACTATTGTAACACAGAAGGTAGGTTGTAATCATTGAAAACTGAGATAACACAGAATGTGAGAATAATTAAGTTGTCATGTGGTCTCTCTTGCAGATTACACAATTTCCATCCAAACTGTTTAAAGAGACACCCGGTAGATGAGGTAAGCTCTATGCATCAAGTTGTTGAATGCAAACCAACTCCCCCAAAGGGGGTGGGGGAACTCCCATTTTAAAGGACTTCTTGTTGTTGTAGTTAGATTACGACCAAGTAACGCGAGAAATGCAAAAAAAAAAAGGCGGGGGTGGGGTAGGGGAGGGGGGTCACTACCGTACATGAACTTGTTTAGGAGGTAAATCGGTAGGTAGGTAGAAGAGCTAGATCGTGCGGTTTACAGAATCTTTGGTCATGCAACACAATATCCTGCTTACTGCGAAAAAATAAGTAGAACGAAGATGTGTAGATAGGGTTGGAAGTGTTTAACAATATTTTTCAACTTATATCATTCTTTCACTTACAGACTAGTAATGCAACGCTTTCGGAATGGTATACTATGGAATATCCCATGAGTCACTTGTATTTTCTTGGTATACACACGAGCCATTAGGGGAGTGTGTATATCGAGAAAATACAGCTGACAAGTGGAATATTCCATGGTATATCACTATTTTATACCATGCCATAGAAAATACAGTGGCCAACACAATCAATGCGACATACGCACGGTGCATGATGGGAAGGTTGGATGTAATACTGTTGAATATACCACGTCTTTCCTGTATTCTGATTGGCTGTGTTTTCTATGCACGGTATAAAGAAAGATAGTTGTAAGTCATGCACACCAAAATTAGCAGAAATAAAACTTCTCATGTATAGATTTTTTGTGTTTGTTAAAATGGGGGGAACCAGTAAAGGAAGTGATCTATGAAAAGAAATGCATGATGTCGCGTGTTAGAACGCATTAAGGATGTGCAGAAACAATTGGCGCAAAAATTGTAAAATGCTGAGTTCTATTTCTAGCAAAAAGTCAGAAAGTTCGTTAAGTTTCAGGTTTAATGGTGTTAGGGACTCTTGTTTTGCTGGATGTTTTTCAAAACAGGTAAAGCTAGATCTAACAATTTGACGTTTGAGTTTGACGTTTGAATGTCCTTCTTACAGCTATTGCCTGTAATATTTTGCATCTTCTCTGTCATTGCATGTGCATTAATTATTATGCCACAGGCCTTTTAGGTCATTTTGTATTTTCTTACCGTTTGTAACAGTCATGGTTAAAAGGTGCTGATGTACTGTTATGGACAAATGGTCGAGTCACAGAATGGTTACGGCTGGTGGATTTAGCAGAATATGCACCCAACCTTAGAGGAAGCGGTGTACATGGATCACTCATGGTAACAAACACTTCTCGAGTATTTTTAAAACTCCTCAATGTTTACACAATTCAATAATGCACAAACTTTAGGGCAGGTTTGTTATTATTTTGACAGCAAGGGGTTTGAGACGATCAGGACTCATGCCATGTTATTTTCGTCTGCTTAAGTGAACCAATGTGACGAGTTCCCCTGTACTTTTTCTATCGCAGATTCTTGAACCACGCTTCACAGCAGAGAGCCTGGCAGCACTATTGTCCATACCAACAAGTAAAACACTCCTTCGGCGACACTTGGCAACTCATTTCCAGTCCCTTGTAGGTACTGAGTGTCATCAAGTGAAGGAAGAAGCAGCCGCTGACCCAATGTTTCAACCACTCATGCCGGGAATTAAACATAAGGTAACCCATGCGATGCATGATTTTATTACTATTGAATTTCTGAAGTGCTTTACTGATGGCATAGTTCATTTGAGGACAGGCCAGATTTTATAGCAGTTCTTCCAACTTTTTATGGATGAAGTCCGGAAGGTTGTGCCTGTTTATACTTAAACCACTACGTTCACCCCCACTTTTCAAATAGGCCATTTTACAGTTAAGTGCTTAGTTACCTGGCCTATGATTGGTAGCGAGGCTGGACGTGACCTTGCTTTGATACAGACCTCTCTGCTTTTCTCGTGTACATGCCAACTGGTTAGCATAAGAACGACTTGGTTTACACAACAAAAACAGTGAGGTCTGTATCAAAAGTAGGTCACCTGCAGCCTCGCTGCCATTCAAAGGCCAGGTCACTGAACAGACAACTGTAAAATGGTCGATTAGACTTGAGTGAAAGCAGCTATTAATACGGAAATAAAAAGATTAAAAGCAATCTAGCATCATTAAAAAAAGAGAAAAGAATAAAGGAAAAAATCGTTACCTGATAGATTTCTTCGAAAACGTTATTACTAGAACTTTAGTATGCCAGTGTGACCCTATCGTCATGGTAACCTCATGCTCTTCATATTTCATTCTTTGTCGTTGTTGTCGTCGACCATCACTGTCATCCCGAAAAGTTCAACTTCAACATCATTGGAATCCTCCTGCTCGGGGGGTGGGGAAGGGGACATCTCTCCTGGCAAAGCTAGTCTTATGTCTTGTTCTGCCCAGATACGTGCAACTTGCTACTTACCTTAGAGTCATACATGAAAAGACTATAATCACTTGATTCATCATCATCATCATCATCATCATCATCACCATCACCATCATCATCGTCGTCGTCTTGATCGTCAGTGTTTTTCACTTGATTAGATAGTAAAAAGAACCATGTCACTGGGTGCTCTCCGAAAGCGTGGGAAAGGGGACGTGGAGCTTGATGACTATGTATGTCCCATGGACCTGGAGGTTCCCCCAGCTCTGAAGTCATATGTGATACAGAGAAGTAGACGGTCAAACGAACGAAGTGAAGAGTCCATGCGATCCAGAAAACGAAGTGACGAAGATAGCAGCTTTCAGGTACAGAAATTCTATTCCTTGTTGTAGGAGTAGAAAAAAAAACCCTCACGTAGTGCTGGAATATTATTCACTATGTATATCTTACTATTAAAAATTGGATCATTGGATAATTCAATTCGAGAGTTTTCATTGGCTTAGCCATCATGGATTATGAGCCATTATACCATGCTCTACAAATATGGTCAGCGTACGCGTGATTTTTTGGGACGTTTTTATTTTTATCTTAATTTGGGGGGCGTATTTCATAAAACAATAATTGTTAATTACCAAGAGTGAGGGCTGTAGTGGCAGAATATCGCCCGAGGTCTTGACACCGCACAAAAAAGACTAAGATTCGATATTCTCCAAGGCTGTTGCCCAAGGAAATTTTTAAGGAGCCCTTTGGGCTTCTTCCACCAAAAGTTAGGAGCCCAAGCCACCTTTTTAGGAGCCCAGATAAAATTCTCCGTGGTCAATGTAGGGGGGAGGGGGGGTTGGGGAGTTTGAGGAAGAGGGGGGGGGGGG